AAATCGAGTGATCGACATGTCAATGATATTAATTATAACATTTTGAACCCATGTAAAGGGACATGTCTCTTGACTGTGATGATTCAAATTGGATTTTGATATAAGCCTATTAGGATGTAATTTTTTGTGTTATGTTGATAATTTTTCTGAATTTTTCCATAATATGTTGAATTTGATTTTTAGATGTTCCGAGAGGAACATTTCTTATTGTTACAATTATCATTGGATCAATTAGATTAAGAGGTTGTGGTTTCTTATTAGAAATATAATTGTCATTCATTGAGATATCTAGGACTGACTGAAGGAATTTGTCTGAGACAAATTCAGTACAAATATAATTTGTTTGGTCAAGAGAAAATGATTTGGCTCTTAAAAAGCCTGGATTATGTTGAAAAATGCTAATGTATAATATAAAAGAAGATTATAGAATATTTGTCACATAATAAGTGCATGCAAGTATGTGATATAGGTTTGTGTAATAGTTTGTTGATGTAACTAAGGATTTGGTTTTTTGTTATGCGCTCGTTGCCATTATTAATTTTTATTATGTCTTGGATGATTTTTATATTTAAATAAACATATACTATTTCTTTTCCGCATTTTTCATATAAAATAAACTATACCAAGCTAAAAATTTCGCGTAGTATTAATTATTCTTTCTTTTTATCCCAAACGATCCTTTCAAGTTTTCGTATTTTAAGAAATGAATCCACCATACAGACTAATGGCAAAAATAAATACGGTGAATGGACAGCAACGAGAAAATATTTTTTTTCGTTGGTAAATGCTGCATTCTGTTCGAAAATCAAGGAACCAATAACTGCAAAAGTTGATGCAGCTGCTTCAGTCGCGTATATTAGTAAAGGAAGACGAAGTGAAGGGTTATCTAAAGATATTATTACGAGATTTCATCAATTATTTTTTTTAGTTATCGATTATTTGCAATATTGGCATAAATCGTAATTATAGATAAAAGCCTTATTTCCCATTGAAAAATGATTTTGACTTAAAAGACGATTGTTCACTTACCTTTTACTAATCCATTAATAGCATAAAAGAAAAAAGGTAAATGCAAAAACAATTCGATAACCAAGAAACTAGAAAACCATACTGGCTCGAAGTTGTAATGTGGGTCTGCTGTGAAATCTTTATACCATTGATTGAGCCTCGTAAGCGAATATGGCACAATTTGTTCTGGAAGTATAGGATATATGTCGAATAAAATTGTAGCTGGGATGTGTGTTATAAAAAATATCAAGTAGACGAGATCTTTTTTATTGAATAATTAGAAGTTGTGTTAATTACTAATCATTCATATTATTTGTGTTAATTATCTAATCATTCATATTATTTGTGAAATGAATTTTTACCTAATGGACGAGAAGTGAGCGAGGTTGCCATGTTTTTTTTAAATCTCGATGTAAAATATAAATGGGTGTTTGACGCTCTTTATGGATAGTAACAAAGTGAAGACGAAAAAAAGGCAGATCATGTGATTCCGATGCCGACCATCCGATATCCTCCTTAAATAACATTGAATAGAATTTCGGTTAGGGGTTAGGTTTAGGTTTAGAATTAACGTTAAGGTTATTATATAGTATATAGTAAAACTTCGCAAAGAACATTTTTATTAAAGCACAAAAGATAGTTTCGTAGGCAAAATTTTAAGATACAAGCTCTTTTCAAAAATAAGCATTTGTTTTGTTTATTTTTGAATTTTTGCATTGTACATTGATCTTGCGATTTGATTGGTGCATAATTTTTAAGGGGGATCGGATGCTCGGCATCGGGATCGGAATCACATGATCTGCCCTTTTTTCGCCTTCAATTCGGTACTACTATTCTTGCTAACTATTACGACAGGGGGCTGTTAGATCGTCGTATGATTCCGGCGTTCAGCATTCGTTGTACTTCGTCGTGGATGAATTCTTGGTCCGGCAGAGTTGCTCGATAAGCTTTTTGTCGGATTGGTCTCTTATCGCCGGTATCGATTTGGTGTTGCACTAGATTCGTCCGTCCTAACTCGAACTCGATTCTCCTAGTTCATTCTTCGTTGGAACTATTTGTGCTGGATTTCATTCCATTCTTCTGGGGGTAAATAACATCCCTGCTTCCCGATCATCCAAGTCAATAACCCATGCATGTAAAAGTGATTCAGCTGGCAGTTGCTTGCAATGTTCGAAAAGTGTCCTCAACGCACGTTCCAGATGAGAGAACCCACTTTCGAGTCTCACTCATTTTTGCGTAGGATTCACGGAAATCCTTGAGCTATGATGGTGTCAACAATGGTCGAGGATTCTGACCTTCGATATCGCTTGTATTACGAAAGGAAGTGAGCTGTGAGCCTAAGAAAATTTCAATGGATTATGATACCTTAGTATGTAATCCGAATTATCATTGTCCTCAGATGTATCATCAGACTCGGATTCTTAGATACAGAAGATACGGAGTAGTCCTGTGATTCACGCTTCTAAAAAAGAACTATACAGCCATACTAATTAGAAATTATTCATAGATATCCCTGATTTTGACTGCTACAATAGTCAGAATTCTGATAACTTCAATACAAACTACCATACCTCATCCTTCTTTGGTTTCCATTTTATCAATAACATCATCTTTCTCCGTACTAACATTGTCACGAAATTTTAGTACTGCTTGAATAAGCTCTTGAGAAATTTTGTCACTTTTGAAATATCCTTGAATAAACGTTGGAATGATATTATTTTGTCTTTCGAGATAATTTATTAATGCTTGAATATCACTTCGAGAAATGCGGGAATTTTGTTTTTTAAAATATTCTCATCCTACTTTTTCTCGTCCACAGTTACAGATAGCAACAAATGACTTTGAGAGTAATGCAACTTACGTGTGTAACTTCTTCCTTGATGTAGCTTCACCGGTTTCATCGAAAGCTTTCTGATAATTTCTAGAGGTTATTTTTTCGAAATTTTGTTTTCCAGCGATACCATATAGATCCATGCTGTTCATAAAGTGTATCTGGTTTACTGACATCTGTTTTGCAAAAGATGAGGTTAGTTGCTCATGATAAAAGAATTAGCAATTCACCGTTCGTATCAACCCAAGTGATGGATTGGTGGAACTCCTATCTGTTTTCATTCAGACTAGGAGCATTAGCTTTCATTCCAGCCACCACTATTTGCGATTCTTTTCTTGGGTTGAATCTTTTTACTTTTGATGGAAATAAGCGTATACTCATACTCTATTTGAAAGGTCAAATCCAAGTGTGCAAATAAAAATCAATACTCTTAATATGAATAAAAGTAGATAAGAACTCCCTAAGCAAAATATAAAAATACGTCACTATACTTTCCAAAGTTGTAAAATTGGTTGGTTTTAGCTCTTTTGCTTTGAACAAAAATCTACGGGTCCAGGTGTTGTCAAGAGCAAACCATTCGTCTGAAGAACGTACTGATGTGAGGATAGTATCAAGAAATTCAGAATAGGAATATGTTTCATTCTCATTTAAGTAACGCACAAGTTCTAGAATATTCAGAGAAAATTAGAATTAGAAATATTTTCTCCATATCATTCCTTGTGAAACTTACCCAAATAACCAGGGTAGAATTCTTTGGAGTCACTAGTCATAATTTCAACCTGGCCTGGGTGTGAGTTTAGACAAAATATGTTTTATAATACGATTCTTTTGGTATAATTAAAAAGAAGAATCGAGAAAAAAAATCAAGCATTGATTTTCCGCGTTTCCGCGTTTCCGCGTTTTTTGTATCAAAGTTACACTAAATTGTTGCATTAACGTTAAACGTAAAGATTTTCGTATCTCACTGATCTACGTAGTACAATGAAAAATTATAAAAAGGAACTTTTTTACTAAAATTAATAAAAAATGGCAAGACCAAGACAACGGAAAAAGCAAAAAAATCCATCAAACAAAGTTACACGTAAATTAGCAAATAAACATTTTAAAAAAGTGCGAATACAGGTAAACAAATAATCGAATAAAGTAAAGTTAAAATTTTTTATGGATTATTTTTTTTGATTTGATTTGATTGATTGAAGGGAAACCGTATTATCGCACAAAATTGGGATATAAAGGCAACTCTCAGACAAAAGTAAGGAGATCATATATATCATTTATCATCTTCAGTCTCAATACTAACTAAATAATTAAATAATAAATAGTTACACACGATTAGGTCTGATGCCATCGCTGAATGGGGTAAAAGGCGGTACAGAAAAATTATATCCTCCTGACTCTTCATCACAACAAGAAGAGGAGGCAAGCACCGAACAACTAAAGAAGACCCTCGGCCCGAATGAAGGTATCATTGAACGAGACAAGGATGGAAACGTGATAAACGTGATAATTGGTCGGACGCGTGAAGAGGAAGAGGAGGAGGTGTTTGATAGAGAGGTGGAGCCGATACCAGCTAAAACCGATGTTGTTAGAGGCATGTATATAATCGTTATTGACATTAAAGAAACGGTTGATTTTATCTACTACGAAATACCTATGCTTTTTCCGGATGTCGGTTTTTAATGTATGAATTCTACTCATAGCCTTAGAAGCACAAGCAGCAAATGGATATACACGTGAAACGCATCAAGCAGACGGTGAACTAGTTTTTGTACGTGAATGCATAGCAAAATACGGCGACAATTATGAAGCGATGTTTCGCGATATAAAATTGAACACGTATCAGCATACCGCTAATCAAATACGAAAAAAATGTGAGAGATATTTGAAGTCGTTGTCCTCTTCTTCATCAATGTCAATATCTTAATTTTCAAATCTTAGTTTGACTTTTTCATCTCTATTAAAGATAATGATAGCTGATATTTATATTCATTCAATAGTTATTTATGTTTAAATAAGACACTGAAATTTTTTTCCAACTCAAAAGTAATAAATCAGATGGTAGGAAAAAGACAATAGTATTTGTTCAGATTCATCATTCAAAACTGTATCACTCGTTTACTAGCGATAAAGATTTTAGATGAAAGTTATTATTATACTATCAATGAATTTTATTATTATTATACTATCAATATATACATTATAATTATTAATCTCCATTAAGTGATTCTTTTGCAGAGATACAAACTACTTTATGTCTTCTATAATCAGCTTTTTGACACTGTACACTGCAATAAGAAGCTTTTTTACATCGCGAGCATAACTTCAATTCAACCAACTCAGCTAGAGCAGCCTCATCTTCCGCCGAATCATCAATATAATTACCATCTTCATCGAGTTGCTTTCTACGATAATCAAAAAACGTCAACAACAAAGCTCCGTCTTCATCCTGCAAATCTCCTTCAGACTTTTGACATTTCAAATTATTACACAGATGTTGTGGAATTCGTACCATTTCCTTTGGATGACTAAACCTTGGCCAGAAAAAGTTTCTTACACCGTCATCATTTTCCGAGTTCACTCTCTGGTTCTTTTCTTTTTTACCTTCCACGTTCCAAAATCCGGGTAAATATCGCATCAATGCTGGATTTTCACGTTGACGGAACCAAATAATGATTGGTTGATCGTCAACCAACGAGAAACAAACAACAAATGGAGGATCGTGATTTTCACGTAACGCGTGCAACCGATCACGAAATTCACGATAAATGAATTGTAAATCCTTGAATCCTTGTTCGTCATCGTTTACTAATTTTTTTGCGTATGCTTTACGCTGTTTTTTCAATTGTTTCAGTTCGTAATCGAGTCCTCCTAGTATAACACCTTCCTTCATTTCACTTAAACTCGGGTAGAAAGGCGGTAATGCATGAATGTATTTCAAAGATGCACGTCTGATCACAAATTGCATTAATCGAATTGGCAGTTCAACTGCAAAAATCGGGAACACCGTCTCATATTCATAACGATTGCTTAAAATTGTAATGAGGGTGCCCATATTTGTGATTACCCTATCCACAACATGACTACTTTCTTCCACCTTTGGTATCGTTTCAACAGTAATGGTTTTCGGGATACGAAATGACTGGTAACGACCGGTATCAACCGTTCTCATTTGACAATGCATATTCCAGAACTCTGGGTTACCTAGGTCTGCAGAAAAAAATGGAGGAGGCGGGAGTTCTAGTAAAGCATTCGACGCTAAGAATATCCCATCCGAGTTTTTAGCTACATAGACTATCCATTCTTTTAATAGACCCAGGGAAGCATTGACGTTTGGTAATGCTTTTGTACGTGCTGAGAATAAGTGAAGTTTTTTGGGCAATGGAAGAGAGTCAGTCTCGATTGCATACAGAGAAGACATCTCTGTTTTTTAAATATCTCCCAAGTAACAAGCTTTTTAAATGATTGATGCTATTTTGGGTTAACACAAGATAATCCGTAAATCATATTCAAATTTATCTTTGAAATTTAAATAAAAAATTTTTTGATCTCTTTACTTTAACTTGAACGCCACAATCAACGGGGGTCTAGCTCAAATGGTAGAGCGCTCGCTTAGCATGCGAGAGGTACTGGGATCGATGCCCAGGTCCTCCACGTTAATCACATTTGAAACCGATTTTTTTGAATACTTTGACTTGGTAGAGTTCTAATGAAAAAATCTAATTATCGATAGAAATTGAGCCCCAAATAACATCCAAGCCCTACTAACGATAATCATAACAGTGCTATCTATTACCATATTAGGAATAAAATATTTTTTCTGTTTTTCCTTTAAACTAAGCATTATCATATGTTTATATTTTTTTCGTTCGAAGAATATATAAAAGTGCCAGCTTATTTTGCTATCGTCGAATTTTTTTATTTTTAATCCAATATCTTATTATAAATAAAAATGCTTTTATGTATATGTCAATACTACCGAACTACATGCATTGCTGATAATGATAAGGGATACATAAATTATTTTACCCGCCCTACAACACAGTTGGTGTCGTGACTTTGCCATCAACACTCTGAACACATACAAGTAATCTGCCTGCCTATTTTTATTTATAAACATTATAATTTCACAAATATCATTTATTCCACTTATCAAATTGCTTTTCATTTAGAAATTTATAGTCATGAAAAATCATCTCTTTTCTTTGGATTTGAAAAAATCAGAAAAGGAAAAAAGCTTCTTATAATTTTTAAAATAATAAGAATTTGCCAAATATCTTTGATACAATTACTAGATTTAATTTATTCTTATAAATTTAAAAAAAATTATTTTATGCTAGTGTTATCACATAATTTAAACTTTATTTTGATTGAATAGTTAATTATCATGTGATTTATAAATCACATTCTTTTTTAGTTCATATTATTGTTATAGTAGATTTTTAATTCTTTATTTTTATTGGTTATTTCATATATTATATCTTATTGAATTATATTTATGTATATTTTTATTGGTTATTTATTTTGCTTATTATTTGTTTATGTATTATATAGCAATATAACAGATATATTGAACTTTTGATATCTTGAATTATTAATTATTTGAATTATTGATCATTAGAGATATTGAACTTTTAATATTTTGAACCATTAATCTTTTGAACCATAGAATTTTTATTAGTTTAGTGTTACAGATATTTAGAGATTTTTGTAATAATTGATTTTATATATAAGTAGCATTTTACTTGATAATAAATTAGCAAGTTTGTAATAAGATTTGAATTTAGATTTTAATAAGTTAATTATCTTGATAATTTCTCTTTAATTTTGATTATAGACTTGAAATAGTCTAGTAATATTGTTACTATTTTACCTTTCATCAGTTATATCACGTTATATTTTAGCGCAGTAATGTTCATTTAAATTTTTTTCTTTTATTTTTACTTTTCTATTTTTTTTTATTTATTTTATCCAATAGCATTAATTTATATTTTTATCCAATTATTTTACATTATTATCGCATCATTTT